CATATGTCACGTGCGGTAAAAGTTTCCTGTCTACGTAGCCATGTGTTATGTATATATGTGCGTTAAGCGTGGTATATGTATATGTGTATTAATGGCGTGGTATATGTATATGTGTGTTATGTATATGTGTGTTTAGTATATGTTATGGTTTTATGTGTATATGTTATGGTTTGCCGCTCCGATGTGTAATTATTCACATCAGAATGAATTTAAGTATGAATTCATCAAATTTAGCAAGTATTAATATTAAAAAAACTAGTTGCGGCTCCTGGAGGTCCCTGATTGATTCTGTTCTGTGCCAAAATATTTGAGAAAAACTCGCTTCAATTTTACCGTCAAATGTTAATAAATGTTCTATTTTGTTTCAACTATCGACAATAAATATAATTTGCACTATCGTTACTTCTTTTTTCTTAAAATTATCGTGAGATAATTTAAATGTAAACCTTGGGATGTGATCTAACAAACTCAAACTGAAGGAAATACTTTCCAAACTGAAAATGAGGTTTGACGCGTTTTTATATAGCTTAGGTCGAGTGTTCTGATGATTAGGGCGTTTCAAAGTCATTGGTCTCGACTCTATTTTCAAATTTTGATATTTCAGTTAATAAATTTCTTCTCATAAAACTAAGAAGTCCTTAAGAATAAAGAACAGTAGTTCAAAGACAATTTATTCAAGCAACACTGTAGTTCAAGCAACACTCTATTTCAAGCAACACCCTAGTTCAAGGAGCAATCTAGTTTAAGCAAGACACTAGTTCAAGCAAAGTTCGCTATGAATAAATCCTAAAACATGGAAACATGAATGTATGCGAAAGCTCAGTAATCTTCCAAATATAGTGACAGCATTCAATTTCTATGAAATGAATACTTATTTAAAACATGACTGAATTACATTGCTAGACTCCAGACAACATTCTACGTATAAAAAATCGTACCACACACTTAGAAAAATGTGTGCGACTTTGTCCAAAAAATGATGCATTTTTTTGCCTTTTTCTGGGTAATCCTGAATGTTTAGCGGGCGAAATGGTGTATGGAGAATGCTATGCTATGTGGAGACACTTTCGGTATTTGGATAATATGATCAATACAATTTTCGAAGTTATGGTTTGCTCCCGCAAGAGCTGCTGGCTGCGGTGTCTCTAAGCTGTGGCCGCAACGCCGACGCTTCAGCGACCCCAACCCTGTAAAAATGAGTTACTTTTAAATATTTATAATATTAATTTCATAATAATTACATCTCGAATCTTTGCAACTCGTTATTCATAAGTTAATGATGTTCTCAGATGTGCCATGTTTCAAATAACAAATACAACGTTCATTGAGCACTTGATGAATTCCTGTTGATATCATGTTAATATTGTATTTGATTGTGTTTCATTCTTAACTGACGGCCGGTTTCAACCAGAACAGGGTTGAGTGTAAGCTAAATATATTTCATAAGATGCTTCTCGGTATGACTACTCCATGGCAAGGTACCTAATTGATTACATTCTTCCTGTATTCAAATATTGTCCATTTTTTAAAATAATTTGTAAATAAATAATTCTACATTAAAATAAATTAAGCACCTATTTTATGAAACTTGTTATTAATACGTTGTGATAACAATCAGAAAAATGAATTGTAGACCATAAACAGTAAGTTCACTACCATTAAAGAAGAAGTAGGAAGGAAAATACGCTGAAAGAACACTCACTATGCACAAGCTCTTGAAGAAAAATGGGATGCATGTCCTGGCTGGATTTTCTTGCACATCTAAAGATTGTGTGGCGTTCGTAACATCTTTATCGTCGAGCATCTGAAGTTCTTTGTCCGTAGTCAGTTCTAGTTCAGACAACTCGTCGGCGGACAGCGCGGGAGCTTCTGCTTCATCCGCGACCACCAGCGGACTGCCCGCGACTTGGAGGACAGTTTCCGCGATGACGACTGCGATGCACAGGAAAATTAGAATTGACTTTGCTGTCGTCATCTTGGACGCGATTTACGTTTGTTGTGAAGTGGACTAATGGCAACCGGATTTTGGTAGGACTGATCGAGAGGCCGTACCGTTGTGATCTAAGGCTTGCCGCGATCTCACAAAACATTATATACTTTTGCTTGGAGTAGTAACCTTGCAATAGCGTTTATGGCCTTCTTCATACCCGAGATAAAGTTGGGAGATGAACTAAATTAGCTTGATGTCAACGGTAGTATATGTAGGTGGAATGAGGAAAACTCGTTTGTCTACTCTTTTCTCTGCGCGTTTTTCTACTCGCTTCTCTATTCATTTATCTACTCGTTTCTCTACCAGTTTCTCAATTCGTTTCTCTATACTCGTTTCTCTACACGATTCTCTGCTCGTTTCTTAACTCGTTCCTCAGCTCGTTTCTCAGCTCGTTTCTCTACTCATTTATCTACTCGTTTCTCTACTCGTCTCTTAATTCGTTTCTCTAATCATTTATCTACTCGTTTCTCTACTCTTTTCTCAATTCGTTTATCTACTCGTTTCTCTACTCGTTTCTCTACTCGTTTCTCTGCTCGTTTCTCTGCTAGTGTCTCTACTCGTATCTCTACTCGTTTCGCTACTCGTTTCTCTACTCGTATCTCTACTCGTTTCTCTGCACGTTTCTCATATCGTTTCTCTACTCATTTATCTACTCGTTTCTCTACTAGTTTCTCTACTCGTTTCTCTACTAGTTTCTCTACTAGTTTCTCTACTAGTTTCTCTACTAGTTTCTCTACTCGCTTCTTTACTCGTTTCTTTACTCCTGTCTCTTATACACATCTAGATGTGTGTTTCTCTACTAGTTTCTCTACTCGTTTCTCTACTCGCTTCGTTACTCGTTTCTCTACTCGTTTCTTTACTCGTTTCTCTACTCGTTTCTTTACTCGAGGTATCCGTATACAAGGCATTTCGTGCTAACGATTCTTATACGTTAACTCGACGTCATAAAAATTGCAAAATTTTATTAATTACTCGTCTCACGTTTCAAAAGATAGAATATTTTGTCTATAATGTCTTATGCCTGAAAGGAAAATATATGGTGATTATGTGGATGCCATGAGGAAAGAGACGTTCATTTTCACATGTTAAATAGATTGTCGATTTTTCTGCGTCTATGCTATTGCAATGCCTACTATTTCTATTAGTCAGTGGAATTCTTAAGTTTTTTATTTTTTATTAAAGATTTTCTTCTACTTTAGTCCGTGAGAGCACATGATACTCGTTTCTCTACTCGTTTCTTTACTCGTTTCTTTACTCGTTTCTCTATTCGTTTCTCTACTCGTTTCTCTACTCGAGGTATCCGTATAAAAGGCATTTCGTGCTAACGAGTCTTGCACGTTAATTCGTCATAAAGATTGCAAAATTTTATTAATTACTCTTCTCAGAAGATGGAATATTTCGTCTCTAATGGCCTATGCCTGAAACGAAATATATGGTGAGTGTGTGGATGCCGCGAGGAAAAAGACGTTAATTTTCACATGCCTAAAAAAATTGTCGTTTTTTTGCGTCTATGCCGATTATTGCTATACTCACTATTTCTATTAGTCAGTGGAATTCTTAAGCTTTTTATTTTTTGTTAAAGATTTTCTTCTATTTTTTATTCTTCTATTCTGTGTTTGATATTTTTTCAATTCACCGAGTTCAGTTTAATATTTTGTGACGTGAGCAAGGCAAGGGTTGCTTAATTATATTTTATCAATTTGTAATCCTTACTTCAGCATTTAAATTTTTGTATAATTTCATCATCCCTCTACTGATTGAAAAATAATTATTTTATTAAGGCTCCTAATGTAGTAGGGTCAATAGAAACCTTGTCCTATCAGCTCAATTCAGTCAGAATTACTGATTCTAAAACTGTATTCAATTATTACGATAATTATAACCGGGAGCTCTTGGTTACTAATAACTTAACGTTATATTAGCTAATTATTCTTCTGATCTGAAGCGCGACGGAGTAATTATTTCTTTAATGAAATGATGAAGCGATGGCGACTAAATTATCTATTTCCCTAAAAATTTTGTAAGGGTTATCGGTAACAATTATGTTTTAGAAGTTTACAATGTGACTAAAATATTTAAATCACTTTGTTACATTTTTTACACTTCTGGGTATACAGTCAATATATATTTCTGCACTTGTTTTTCTACACTCGTCTGTTCTTATGTTCTCCGCCGCGCTCAGATGGTCAATTGTTTATCATAATTCTTTCTGAATTAGTCTCATAATTGAAAAATGTTGAATTTGAACTTCGAATTACGTACAAGAAAATAAAAGCTTTAATGAACCAGAGAAATTTGAATGATTCTTAATGTTTAAAAACATTTCTTGATATATATGACTGAGGCTATTAATTTTATTTCGTGAGGCGTGACGGCCTAATTCACTTTTTTTTATTCTAGAAACATTATTTCTGGAGTCTCAAGTTTCCTACAATTTCAAATATCGTTTTGGTTGCTTCAATGTTAAATTACGAGCAACCGAATATACTAATAGCTAGATATGTAATGAAGTTGGAGCTACCTATTATACATTCTTTTAAATTTGCTTAACCAAAATAATCACTTGTTGATATTTACATCAAACATCGAATTGATTCCGATTTCCATTTTTGTTAAATATTCAGTTAATGTTGAAAATTTTCAGATTCGAGCATTGCCTATTTTTGTGTATAAAAATGTTCTCACATATTGAGCCTCGCATTTTTGCATTAAGCTTCGCAAAATCAAAAGCTCTAGGGCAATATTTTGTAAATAAAATGTTTTTCTTGTATAATTATACGATTATCTGCACGCTGATCAAATTAGGATGAAATTCGAAAGCGCTAAATTCTGTTGCAATTCAAGTTCGCTCAATACGTCTTAGAATGAGAAGTAAATTTGCGAATTCAGCGTGACTGAGAAGAATAAAGAAAAACAAACTTTTAATTATTTTTTTTTCACTCTCAAACAAGTTATTTAATTCATACATTTTACTTCCTTATAAAATAATTTTCATGATATAACTGCATGATTATGCAGTTATATTTGAAATTTTTGCCAGTCAGTTTTTTTCCTGAAAATCCAAATCGCCGCTCGTGGGGGAGGCAGCTGGCTACGTTTCTCGCCACCAGCTCAACCCGACTGAAAAATAAATATTATTTTTCAACCAAAATCAAAAGCCTGCTATAAAAAAGCGAGTATATTATATACCTTCTATAGAAGCGCTATTTACTAGTAGTATGTAGCGAAAATATTCTATGCTTTAGGCTAAAAAATGTTATAGGAGGGTATTAGAATAATTTTTGAAGATGACATGAATATTTTCTAATATATATCATTTTACCTGCATAATCTTTAATTATTTTTTATGAACTTATCAATGTAGAGCACATTGCAAGCGAGAGGAGATTAAATTTTGTCGAATTATTTCTTTTTGGCTCTAAATGATTTTTTTGTCAAAAGAGAAGTCGTTATTCTATAAAAGATGCCATTGGTGATTAATATGAAATCTTGACCTAAATTTTGAAGTACAAACAATTAATGGACGATTTACCATCCTTTATGAGAACATTCAAGGAAGAAAATGCCTTATAAAGGCACAGTTGTTTGCATAGCTAAAGTAACTGTCAGAATGTGATAAAGCTGAAAAGAAAACGCGTACCTATAGCACTATTGTTGCGTTGCCGCGATAATGATGCCTATAGTTGAAAGAACAGGTGGGATTTGCTCGTACAGATAAAAAGATCATACTTACTGTGCAAAATTGTTTGCCGAAAAGAATGATGCACATCCCTTTTGCTGGGAATGGAATCGTCTCTTGCACTCCCAATACGTGTCCGTCGTCCGCTCGACGGACACGCAATACGTGTCCGATACCATCTTCGAGCGCCTGCAATTGAGGTTCTTTATCCAAAACCGATTGTAGTTCAGACAACTCGTCGGCGGACAGCGCGGGAGCTTCTGCTTCATCCGCGATCACCAGCGGACTGCCCGCAACTTGGAGGACAGTTTCCGCGATGACGACTGCGATGCACAGGAAAGCGAGGGTTGATTTGGCCATCTTTATCTTGCAGTACAGTTCTCCGGATACAGTTTTTTTTCTGTGAAAAGAATTGCCTGGCGCTTCAGGTAGGACAGGTAGCCTTCTGGACAGGTAGAGGGTCCTTTGCGTTTCTGAATGCTGCTGCGCCACCTCAAGACTTAAATACTCTCGCCTAGAGCTGCAACCACTCGAGTTTGACATTCTTCGACCCTGATGCATGATATTGCATGAGATTGTCGATAAACGACAATCACAAGATGCATGATCACACTTACACGAGATTGTCTATAATCGAAAATAACTTCTGCTGACCAATTCATTGCATATAAGTAAATGTTGAAGCCTCTTCCAACATGCCCATTTTCATGAATTCCTGAAAATTATGTTCTCATGTTAGGAACTTTAGGTGTGCTGAATATTAGTAGGTGTTTTGAATAAATGCTCGAAAAGTTATTGAACCATAAAATATCTTAATGGTTTAATTCTTGTAAATGCTTGTTCCTAAGCTTCCATTTGATATTCACCAGGCGAAGTATGACAGTCGTATGTTATAGTGCCACGAGAAATGGAACAAAAATCATTCAAAACCTCTCGTTAATGACAAAAACAAATTCATTGCAAATCATACAAAAAACCAACGTCGACAAAATGAGATAAACAGCTATATAATTTTCTTTGCTCCAATTTGTACTCGAAGAAACTGATATTTTCACGGACGATTCCTCGAGGCAAATGCGTGGGAGTGTTGAAGTTATTCTAATGCTTGAGCTCCATTAAATTTCTACATTTTTCCGCACCTCAATGGAGCATTTTAAATGGACGTTGGTATCTGCGTTACAAGTTTTAGAAATGAATGACATTTAGCGCACATTGCGGTGCATTCGGAGCGAACTTTACTGTAGGTTATTCTTGATTGTTTTTGATCAAAATTCGATTGAACTCGATCATCTTTTGGAAGTTCGATTTGTGAACACTTTATTCACCGATTAATTACAGGCGGTAAGAACTGACATTAAACTGTATATAGATTTATTATTTCATATTGGAATTTTTACAACGAAATAGAATTGGTTTGCCCATTTCCTTCCACATTTATTTTCTTGAAGCTAGGCAAAATTAGTTTTTTAATGCAAGTTTTGTTAAAGAGAGAGTAATTCCTGTTAAAAATTATCTAGTTGTTTATCTAATTTTGTCGACATTGATTTTTTGTATGATTTGCAAATTCGTATATAAGGTTCCTTAGTGGCATTTTATCATAATATTATCTAAAATTTCGAAATACCATTGACTATTCATTCACTCTAACAGTCTAGTTAAAAAATCTGTGCTGGTCTAAGGCGGCTGCTTTGTTGAGATTCGTGTTTAGAACAATGCAGCTCCAATTAAGTCGATTCGTTAAGTTCAATGAGCACATTTAAAAAAGACTGATTATGTATGTTCTCATCTTCTCAACTTTTACATCATCAATTTTCCCTGGGGAATTATTTAGTAACTACTGGATAACTATGGGTATTATATGTTGTACGTTCATCGAACCAAAACTGAAAAAATGAGTAACTAACCTCAATTTCTGCAGAGAAACTCTTATCTGCGAAAAACTTTACAGTTTTTGCCTGATATTGTGACCCACTAGACCCACTTGACCCATTTGACTCACTTGACCTACTTGCCCACTTCTTTTATTTAAAGCAATAATTGAGCCACTCATGTCTGCCGTAAGGTTGCTTATCAATTTTAGTCCTCAAGCCTGCTTGACTGGAGGACCAATAATTTCATTCCTTGAAAGCGTCCTCTTGTGAATTTTTGCCATATAATGTTAATGGCGAAGTTGTAAACTTTATTGGACTCGCTGAAGCTTAATAGGTCAAATTTATAGACAATATCATCGTTCGAAAGCATTTACTTTCTCCTCATGATGTCCTTATTGATTGAAATACATTCGTGAATTATGATATTAACTATAATGTTCAATGTCGCGCGTTATCGAGAAAGATCACATCATGTATTGCATGCTGAGGTTGACAGTCCTGAACAATAAATGATGGAGCTTCTGTAAAGGAAAATATTCGTTACTCCTGGACTTAAAGCAGCATCGCAATTTCAAACATCATTAAGTTATTGTTGCAAGATAAAAACGAGCTATTCTCGGGAATACAAAATTCCCGCGTTATGGCCCACTGTCAGATAAATAGTAGGATATATAGCGAACCACATCAGTATTTCGTTTAAATTTCAATGGTCGCCACCAACTCTCCGTTCGCCAGGTTTACTTTGGGGAACTATATGAATCGGCGAACAAAATGGCGATTTGGAAAGTTGTACAACTCCAGAATCGAGCAGTGTCTTTAATTCCTGTTTAGCGATCTTTAATTTGACTTCTGACCGTTGACGTACTCTAGCAAATATTGGTTTGACCGAAGTAAGTAAGATGGAGTGATGAACTTTAGGCTTTGGAATAATATTCAGAGACGAAACTGATGGTAAAGTTAAGAATTTGAGTTTTTCCAACAGTTTTGCGATGGGCGTAGGAAAACTAAAGTAATTGTTGATCACGCGATGTGTTACTGCAGAAGTCACTGCAAATGCATGCATTTGAAAGGGCCCACCCTACAGAGTGTCGGTTTATAACACTGCACCTATAAAATGCTGGAGTGTTTCATGAACAGATGATGCTAACGGAATTTCAAGCGAATATCAACTGTAACTCTTATTATTTATCTGCAATAAAAGACAATAATTTTAGCTCAACAGGTCACAAAAAGTTCATACTTTAAATGGAGAATATAATGCGCGAAGGTCCCAGAATTTAAGAAATTTTAGACGCTATTTTTCATCGTAGTATGTATTTCAGTATTTCAATAATCGTAGAAAAGAAAGTAAAACTTCGTTTAAATTGGTCTACAGTTTGGCTACGAAGAAACCTCTAGTCAAGTCCAACACCAAGCAAGCGATTCGTCAAACGTTTGATATGTTCAATGAAAAGCCTTGAACAAACCCTTGCCTTGCGCCAGCCGGTAAAAAAGTCTACAACTTTTTCGTCTATATGATCCAATTATTCTTCTGAGTTCATCATTTCAATAATCGAACTTCAAAATTCCTCCCAGTTTTAACCGGTTCAAAAGACTAATGTCGGCAACGTCGTGAGTTGAGAACACTAAGTTAATAGGATAAAAGCATTCGTAACCCAGGACGAGATAGAAATTATTTATGGAAAGTTTATTTCTACGTTAACATCAAACGAGTGTTAGTGAGGTAATCTTCAGTTAGTCTTAATTCCGAAAGTGACTTGAAAAACATGTTATGCACGCAATGCTTGAAGAAAATAGCAAACAAGAATGAGGTTAAGGTGCTAGGTTAGCCGATACTTCAATCAGATGTAATTTTCGCAAATCCTAAGAAATAATTTGCAGGGAGATAAATACAGATAACTGTTATTACGCAATCGACTAGGCTCAACTTGTAGAACTATTTCGTTTAATCGTACGGTGATACATGTGTGGAATTAAGTATTAATAAATGTTTCTTTTGGTTACACGTGGCGGCTTCACAATTATAGACTCAGCAGCTCACTTCACACTTTGGGGTTGAAGAATGTCGTAAACTCGAGTGGTTGCTGCTTCCTGCTGCAGGAGTATTTAAGTCTTGAGGTGGTGCGACGGCATACAGAAACAAAAAATCCCCTCTACCTTGCATACTGAAGCGTCAGGCGAATTTCCTCAGGAGCAAAGCACCTTTTGAACAGCAGCTAAGATGACGCTCGCCAAGTCAACCCTCGCTTTCCTGTGCATCGCATTCGTCATCACGGAAACTGTCTTCGCTCAGCCGGTCCAAGTTGCGGACAGCCCGCTGGTGGTCGCGGATGAAGCAGAAGCTTCCGCGCTGTCAGCCGATGAGTTGTCTGTACACGAATTTTCTTTAGATGAACTACCAGCACTTCGGCAGTTCTTGGATGAAACAGTAGTGGACGACCAAAAAGATTTCGGACTTCAAGAAGACCCAAACCGGAGAGGGCGCATTGTGTGCCGACGTAATCCAAGCGGAGGACTGACATGCTGGTAAGTTGTTGCAGAAGATCTTCAACATATATTGGCTATCCGTCAAATTTATACGCGATACTGGAAATGAATTTAAACTTGATACAATCAGAGTTACAGATGTCAAGTTTTTTTGGTAAGGTAGAAATTATGCCCATCAGGTGGCCTACTTACAAAAAATAATATGCTTAATCTCACGTAAATTCACTAGCCTGACAAAAAAAAACATACAATTGCTAAACTAATGAAATGGTCATGTTTGGCGACTTCGGCATGGCTTCTTCGGTTCACAACATGTCCCTCGAGGCCTGGATAGTCCACGACTGACCAAATCATTCTCAGAACATCCGCTTGTCCTTTCAGTTGAGGCCTGACGGTCATTCCGTCAAGCATAGTCAATCATGATAGGAAGGATAGTTTTAAAAGAGTTTAATGCATAGAAAAAATTCAACTGTTGTACAAAACATTTGCATTATCGAATCAATATGCACTCTAAAAACGTCAGATTTAATACATTATATAACAATTGACTATGTAATTTGATTAGTGTAGATGCGAATTATAATATAGTTATCATATAAATTTACATTGCAGGTTTTCGTAAACGTACTGAACTCGCAGGGCTGAGGAGAAAACCTGATGACGGCGCTCCGAGCTGTGAAGCGCGCTTACGATACGGATTGTTCCATCATCAAAATAATAAATAAAATTTTCAACATAACGTGCAATTATATAAACATTCACAGTATTCATTTAAAATAAATAAAATTATAAAGCACCATTTGGCCTGCTCTCTATTTATTTACCTTCCACTCTCGACTTCCACCAAGGGCATTTCTTCTCAGATGAGCTAACGATCTTTGCATTACATGCTTTCAAGAGAAAAGCAATTCAGACGCAGAAGCAAACGAGGCTTTCTGTAGAATAAACCTTAACATTCTAAATACGTTGAGACCGATTTCGGCTTCGGAAATTTTGGCCTTAAGAACGTGATCAAAATGTAGTTATCAACATAATGTGTCTGATATATTTAAAATGCCTGATGCGTCTAACATATTTAACAAGCCTTAGTTGTCTAACATTTAGGCACAATACAGCTCGAAAATTTTTATAATAATCATTTTCCACTGTGTGAACATACGATTATCAATGAATTTTCTGAAGTATTATATTTTGGTTGCGTTCCACAACTTTCATCTTGCAAAATTTGCCCGATAAAACCAGAAGAAAATACGATATTTATTTATTGTCAATTGATTAATTATATCAACCGTTGTCTCATTGCGATGTTATAACAAATGTGCAAAGTCAATAAAATCAGCATCTATTGCTCGCCAACTGATAAGATGAAACGCTTTCCATGTTGATTAATCAGATATCAGGCATTGTTATGCCATGAGCATGGGCATAACCCTTCAAGTATGACTATTTGATGGATGTTTCCTAATGAACAAATTATTTCCCTTTGTAATCATTGGTGTGATATTTCAACTATATTCATTTGAAACTATCTAGATGCAAGTAGTATTTTCGCGCCTTTTTCTTAGATTTTTTTTGAGAGACTTCTTGACTGTCCAGGGTCCAGAATTACCTTGTCGCAGCTGCAATGCGTCTTCTGTAGCGTCTGGGAAATTTAATGAATGTTCCAGGCTTTTATTATAGTAGCTTTAGGTGCCTAATAACTGCTGAGATAAAAGTGAATATGACTAATGTGGACTAATAATTCAGTTTGAAAGACTGGACGTATATCATTCAATATAAGAATTAGATTCATGAGATATATTGTCTTGTTGTCCGTCGTTAGTAGAGGGTTTGCAATGGACTCATGTTCGTTTTCTTTTGTTACTTAGTAGGAATTTTATCTTACACTGTTTACGGTTACTCCATTAGCAATATCCAATCTTTTACATTGTCTAACGATTGCTATGTGTATTTCCTGTACGTAGTAATTATTTGCAACCAATGTTAAGAATTAGACTACAAAAGAAACAGATATATGAAGTACTTACATCAGGCTTTACTACACATTGGAAAACATGACAACAAGAATTAAACTCGCCAGCTTTACTCTAACGAAAATACAAATATTTTTATTTGGTTACACTTTGATGTCTGCAACTCTGCTTCACGCCTCCTAGGACTTACATCGTATTTTGTAATAAAATTAATGCCGAATTTCCTGTTTCGGGGGTTATTTTGGTTCGAGAAATTATAGCGTAAATCCTAACTGATTTGATCTAACAGTTTTACCCGTCTTTCAAAGCCGTCATAAACAGGTAAATCCTATTGTTCTTACAAAATGAATTGGTTTTATTGTGCAAATAGTGACACGCTTTATGCATGTTACACTGATAAGTCCTAATGCCGGACAAAACTGAGTTGGGATGGCTCTCAAAAGTGGAGAGAAGTGCATCGCTACTTGGACAAAGTCCCTCAATTTTTTTGAGAGTTTGTTTTGTATAGTGTGTCCATATGTCACGTGCGAGGTTCTTACTTATGCAATGCAAGTTAAAAACGTTTCCGGGCTGCGCAGCGGCGGTGGCAGCTTGTCGCGCTTGGCGCTCCTATGGACTTCAGTCAAAGTTAATTACTTCCCTGTTATTCTATGTGGTTTGCTAATTTTTCTCGCTTGTTTTATTATATATTTCGGAGTCCTGCTCCATTGTCAAATTGTCAGTTCGAAAATTCTAGAACACAGATAAATCAGTAATTAGTGCAGTAAAGATTACAACAAAAAACCTAAGCTGTAAAACCTACCTATTTACAATTTCAGGCGGGTAAGAACTAAAAGCTAAATTCAAACTAGGCCACAAGATCTAAATCACTTTGTTACATTTTTCCACTTCTGGGTATACAGTCTCTATATATTTCTGCTTTTATTTTTATACACTCGTCTGTTCTTATGTTCTCCGCCGCGCCCAGATGGTCAATTGTTTATCATAATTCTTTCTGAATTGGTTTCATAATTGAAAAATGTTGAATTTGAACTTCGGATATTACGCACAAGAAAATAAAAGCATTGAAGAACCAGAGAAATTTGAATGACTCTTGATGTTTAAAAACATTTCTTGATAAATTTGACATAGGTTATTAATTTATTTCGTGAGGTTTGACGGCATAATTCACTTGGCTTTTATTCCAGCAACATCGTTTCTGGAGTCATTATTTATCTTACATTTTCAAATATTGTAGTAAATGTAGTTGCTTCAATGTTAAATTACCTGCAACCAAATATGCTAATAACTAAATATTTGATGAAATTGGAACTGCATATTTTACTTTCTTTTAAATATAAATTTGCTTAACCAACATAATTACTTGTTGACCTTTTCATCAAACATCGACGTTATTCCGATTTCCGTTCTTGTTGGGTATTCAACCTCAGTAAATAATGACTCGGGTGCCCAGGGGTCGTCAGCCCCTTCAGGTAATTTTATGTTAAAAATTCTCAGAATCATTCATTGCCAATTTTTGTGTATGAAAATGTTATCACATATCGAGCTTCGTATTTTTGCACTAAGCTTCGCGAAATCAAAAGCTCTAGGGCTTTATTTTGTAAATAGAATCTTTTTCTTGTATAATTATACGATTATCTGCACGCTGATCGAATTACGATGAATTTCGAAAGCGCTAAATTCAGTTGCAATTCAAATTCATTCAATACGTCGTACGCGTTCTTTCCTTGAATGAGAAGTAAATTTGCGAATTCAGCGTGACCGAGAAGAATAAAGAAAAAACAAACTTTTAATTGTTTTTTTTTTTACTCTCAAACATGTTATTAATTCATACAGTTTATTTCCTTATCAAATAATTTTCATGATATAACTGCATGGTTATGCAGTTATATTCCAAATTTTCGCCAGTCAGTTTTTTTCCGAAAAATCCAAAAATAGCAATTCTTTCGTTTTCTTGCGAAGCATTTTTGATGAACTAATGTAAATGTCTGATTGTGAAACCATTATCTAGCCAAGTATATACCTTTACTTATTTCAACCCTTATTCATGCGTTGCGTACATGAAAAGGTTTTAAAACGCTTTCTTAATTGAGAAAATGTGGATGTGCGAAGTTGATGTGTTGAAATTATCCCTAGCTTAGACATTATACTAAAAATTGTCACTTGGACCAGGTACAATTTAAAGTGTGTACTATTCGATCCTTGAAAGTAGTTCCATCATTAGAGTTTCAGTAAAGTAGAAGCGCAAGATCAGGAAAACATTGAATTAACAAGTTAACGTATGAAATTATCTCCCAAATTATGAAGGTTAAAGTGTAAATCTTTGTTAAATGCGGTAAAATTTTAACGCAATATTTAGAAACAAATTGAACTGAAGTTATTGTATTCCATTGCAAGCTAGAGCGACGAGTGCCAAGGCCATATAAATATTTTACTGCTTGAATTTCAATAACCCTTACTCGTTAATAAAACACCCGAGTATTATTGCCTCTTCTGTTGACCCCTTGACCTACTTCTACCTGTAATAAAATGACTTCTCTACACGTGACGTCTGCTAAGTGTATTTATGTTTCTAAATTACCTGATTCCTGGAAATGCTTCTTAGCGTAGTCCTGCGCGCTTTCAGTTTGAAGGAGCTTTCGTGTGCGTTGTTACATTGAAAAAACATGGTTCTGAGAATTGTAGACTTTTTAGCACAATAATTAACTTTAAATTTCATCTTTATTCATTCATAAAAATTTTCCTTTTTTAACTTTGTTGCAGCAAAATAATGAACTTTTTAATTTTTTTAATAACAATTTTTGGTTGCATTAACTGATAAAGTTTTGCAAAAATATTTCACTTGAACATCGCTGTTTTCTTTGAACATATCCAGAATTTAAATTTGAATTTAAATACCAAATTCTAGTAATTTGTAGCATCACAATCGAAATGACGCAAAGTCGCAAAACCTAATTTCTGGTTCACACTCACGTTTGATGTTTATTATACCGTAATAATACGGTTCTGAAGGAAGTAATCGAAATCTCATCCGTATTTCACAGAAAAGAGAACGAAAAATCATTGTGCCTTGAAAATGCGCGCGGTCCCAATTAGGAACCTTTGATTGCGACTTATTGCTTAAACCTCGATTGCATTTCGTATTTTCATACTGCAAATGAGGATGGTGACGAAGGTTGAGTCCTTAATGATCTTGTCCTTATTAATGATCTTGTCTATCGTTTTTTCTTAAAATATTTGAATTTTATAATAAAAATGATTAGTTTGTGAACATCTTTGTTATCGCGTGAAAACTCGCCTGAAATCATAACAACTATACCTACTCTATTTTCACAATAGCTAGGATATTCTGGTTTTAAATTAGGTTTTACTTAATAGAGTGTGCTCAGTTATTGGCCTTCATATTACGAAAAAGGAAAATTCTTGGTCACCAATTGGTGGTCCATAATATTAAAAATTATAACATCCTTATTTCGTGAAAACTCACTTAAAATTATTACAATTATACGCTATTTTCTCAAAAGGTAAGATATTTTGATTTTAAATTAGGTTTTAGTCAATAGAGACCTTTCGGGGGGACTTTCGACGCGTGTCTGTGCTCGTCGTAAGTCCTATGGGATTTCGCGCTCCTAGGGAATTGTTCCTGAGCGCCCCACCGCTGAGCTCTCGGTGTCTGACTGCAGGTCTCAGTTGTGGGGTTAAGTTATTATGTAGGTAGTATTCCTTACATCAAGCTATTATGTAGGAAGGATTCCTTACATTCCCCTTCTCTGTCTCTCTCGT